AAATCCAGAAAATTTTTTTACAGAAAATTTCTGAATCATTACCTTGAAAAAAGTCAGGACGTTGCTGAAAAAAATAAACTTGGGGAGAACAAACATCACACGGGGAGCAAGTTTTTTGTTTTAGAAAAGGTCGGGGCACCTGTACTCCAAAAACGCAGTGATATTTTGACCATTGTGTGTATAGGGTTTAATTTCCTGTCCAAGAGAAAAAATGGCAACTTGAGCGTCACTTTGAAAACCTTTTTTTCCCCCATCATTTACTTCCCTCTGTAAATGCCCCTGCCAATGTTGAAACCCTGTTTTTTGTCGTTTTTGTCACTCTTGCGTTTTTTTCCCCGTCGTGTTTCCCTTCTTAGATAAAGGGGTTTTGGTGTCCGCCGCTTTTTTGTTGTGATACAAGTAGGCATGATCCTCCATTTCCCTCTGAAAGTTTTGGCCACACGTGCCAAAAAGTTTGCAAAGTCACTCCCCCGCCTGCCCCTTGTTTACCCCTTTTTTGTTACCAAGAGGCCCCAGTAACCGCTTTTTCTTCTTCTTTGGGTTTTAGGCAGACTAAACGCTTCTCAGGGATAATAAATTTCCCCTCTACCGGTTTTGTACCGTCTCAGTTTTATCCTCTCAAATTTCCGTAGTTATTTTTTGAGCGTCATGGGAAAAATCTCGCAATCGCTAGTTTTTTTGCCTCTGCGCTCCGTACGCAAAGAAGTCAGCCCCCATGGCTGCGAGAAACCCGCTCCTATGTAATTTTAAAAACGAATTCCCAAGGCAAAAGCAAATGTTATGGGTTTAAAAGGTTGGGTGAACTTTGGGGGGGGTGGGTAAATAACATAAATTAAAGGGGTTAATTTTATTAAATTTCTGAATTTATATGCCTGTAATTATTACACACTGTAAGGGGTTTTTAAATTTAAAAAACCCCCGGGGGAAACCTTTTAATTTGGGGTTTTCAGGAAAAATGAAAAAATATGTAATTCAGTTACAAGGGTTTCTTTTCCAAAAAATTTTAAGGGAATTAAAATTTTTGTTACATTTTTTTTAAAAAAAAATTTAAAAAAAAACCTTTTTTCGAAAAGGGAATTAATATTTTTATTGCTTTCCCCGGGCCTTTTTATCGCCGTTTTCCCCCTAACCCGGGTCCTTGTTTTCTATCTTTTTTGCCGTCTGGATTCCATCCCCGTGCTTGGGGGGAGCCCATTTGAAACGCAAGCGACGGGACGGGTTCTATTTCCGCTCAAGCAGGGGGCATAAAAAATTGGGCGTTCCGCAAGGAAATTTTTTAAGGGGAATTTTCATTTTTTTAAATTTTTGAATAAGGGAAAATTGTTGGGGGAAGGAAATTCTTTCCGGTAAAATGGAAATGGGTTTAGGGGTTTTAAATGGTTTTTTTGGTTAAAGTGGGGGAGGGAAAAAGTATTTGGGAAAGGGAGGATTAGAAATTTATGGGGGGTTATTTTTTTGGGGGAAAATTTTGATTGTGGGGGGTTTTTTAATTATTGTTTTTTAAGGGTTTTTTTTTGGGGGTTTTAAAAATTTAAAATTTTTGGGGAAATTTAAAGTAATAAAAAGTTATTTATTACTTTTTTTTTAAAAAGTTAAAAAAAATTTTAAAAATTTAATTTTTTAAAAAAAAGGGAAATGTAACGGATTTCATTTTTTTAAAATAACCCTTTAACCCCCCCACTGGGGCCTAACTAACATCATAGTTAGAGAAATAACGTTCTGCAACCTGATTTTTATAACCCTAACCCTAGGACAAGCTGGAGTATCTCTCTCCCTAACCTCGTACATATGGTTCTGTACAGGACCCCCCTCCGCTGAACTAGCCGGGGCCACTCTCGCAGTAATAAGTGAACCTCAGCGTCCAGCTTGTCCTCCCAAAGCAGTTTCGTCCCCAGGTGTTAAAAGCGCTGCATGACGATGGGGGGCATTTGGGCATCGAACGGACTATTGAACTAACCAGGGACAGATTCTACTGGCCAAGGATGGCCGCAGACATTGCCAGTTACATATATAGCTGCGGAAGATGTGTAGCGCACAAATCCCAGCCCCACCGAACCGCTCCTCTCCACCAAATGACCAGTAAGGGCCCACTTGATTTAGTGTGTATTGACTTTTTGTCAATGGAGCCTGATTCTCGTGGCATTGCAAATGTTTTGGTTGTAACAGACCATTATACCAGATATGCTCAGGCTTATCCCACGAGAGATCAGAAAGCCTCAACAGTGGCCAAAATCTTGCTGGAAAAATTCTTTGTCCATTATGGACTACCTTCCCGAATCCATTTGGATCAGGGCCGCAATTTTGAGAGTAAGCTAATCAAGGAACTGCTCACGGTACTGGGTATCAAAAAATCAAGAACAACGCCATATCACCCTCAAGGGGACCCACAGCCCGAACGTTTTAACCGGAACTTGTTGTCTATGTTGGGTACACTGGACCCAGTGAAGAAGAAGTGTTGGAGTCAGCAAATTGCCGCTATGGTGCATGCTTATAATTGCACCAAAAGTGATGCCACTGGCTACTCCCCGTACTTCCTTATGTTTGGACGGGAAGCGCGCCTCCCAGTGGACCTATGTTTCAGTTCTGTGCAGGAGAGAGTAGAGAAAAAGTCCCACAAGAGATATGTGGAGACTCTTAAGAAAGACCTGCAAGTTGCTTATGAACTGGCTGTGCAAGCAGCCGACAAGAATCACCAACGCAACAAGCAGGCCTACGACCGGAGAGTTCGCTCCCACTTGTTAGAAGTAGGCGACAGAGTACTTGTTCGTGCTTTTGGGGGCACTGGCAAACAAAAACTGAAGGATAAATGGAACTCTGTCCCCTATGTAGTTCAAGAAAAGTTGCCAAACCTTCCTGTGTACAGAGTGAAACCAGAGAAGGGTGCAGGGGTGGTGAAAACTCTGCACCGAGACCACCTATTACCAGTAGGCTCTCTTGTAAGGTTACCCGAAGGGTCTGATGAGGCTATGGAAACAGTCCACAAAGTGGAACGGACACGGCTGCAGTGTCGTGCTAAATCCGAAGGAGTGGGGCCCGATGAGTCAGACTCTGAGGACGATGAATATGTATATACCCCTGCAGCAGTGACCAGCTATGCACCTTACCCGGGCCCCGATGGATCGTCACCGTCAGTGAGTGATGGTAGTGAAGTGGGTACTGGCTTACCTCAGACTCCTGATGATGTTGAGGGGATTATTCAGGTGGATACTGATGACTTGCAATTAGGCCTGGGAAACCATGTTGAGTCGAAGGAGGATGAATACTGTAACCTGTCGGAAGGGGGTGGTGCTGAGATACCTTGCACTCCCCAGTTTCAAGGTGCTGGGTCCGCAGGAGAGGTCGAGTCTCTCACAGATGACAGTTTGGGGAACTGGGGACAGGCAAGAGATATTGCCCGTGATCCGTTTCACTTACGATGAACTAGGGACACCCTCTGACCGTCCATTGGTCATACAGCATAAAGGAATGAAAATATGTGTATCCAGGGATGGGGAGTTGACTAAGCAAGGTCGAGTGGTCAAATGTTTAACTATTAGTATCTTACCTGGTGACAGTGGTTAGTTTAGTCTGATGAGGACATCCAGACCTTTAGAAAGGGGGGAGTGTAACCCAGGTGTTACTGGGAGTTTGTTTGTTTTTTTTTTTGTTAAAAAAGAAAATTCTGTTAAGACATATATGGGCTTATATAGTTCATAACTCCTGTATTATACAGTTGGTTTATTTTCATGTGCTATGCATTTAAATATTTTGCAGAGATTTACTTTAACTGTTTTTGATTTAAAAGAGAGAGGAACAGCAAAAGAGAGGCAGGAAAAGGAAAGAGAGAGGGGCGTTTTTTTTGTTTTTTTTTCCCGGTGGGGGGCGCAGTCCGTCTCTTCTGGGAGAGGGAAAAAAAAGAGGGAAGAACAAGAGACAGTTTTTTTTTGGCCCGGAGGAAAAAGAAAGAAACTGTACGGGAGGGCCACCGGAGTTTTTTTTTTACCGAATCGGCGGGGCATGTTGAAGGGACTTGGCTGCAGTGAGTGTTTAAGTGCTTAGTTTAGACATTCGCCGGTTTGATACGCCTCAACCCAGCCCGAGGGCAGGCCGAGAAAAGTTAGCCCCTGCCAGAGGTAGCTCGGAGCTACTCAGTTAGCGCCCTGGTTTCCGAACAGCCAGTGGTTCCACTGAAGTAGCCGACGAGGGAGCAACGCTACTCGGTTAGCGCCCTGGTTTCCGAACAGCCAGTGGTTCCACTGAAGTAGCCGACGTGGGAGCACCGCTGCCCGGATAGCGCCCTGGTGACCGGGAAAGCCAGAGGTTCCTCCGGCGACGTGGGAGGGACTTCATCAGCCACCCGGCCGGACACCTTGTGCGGCTCCCACACAGTTTTTTTTTTATATATATATATTTTTTTTCTTCTTCTTTCCACTGGAAGACTGGAACAACCGTACTGTGAGTAAGGGACCTTTGGAAAAGGATTATTTCTTCAGTTTACATAGATAACAGGCCTGCAACGATTATTTTTGGGGGTATTTTCTTTTATGTGCCGGCTATTTTGTTTAGTACCTGCGCAGGTGTTTCAAAGTTTTGTTATAGTGTGGCCACACAGTTTTTTTTCTGTCATTTTAGAGGTTATTTGCCCCTAGCGGCTGAGGAGTATTTGTTTTTTTTTATTTGTTTTATTGTAAAAGGTGGGTTTACAGGGGAATTATTATTTGTGTTATTCAGCGTGTTTAAAATAAATGCTTTATTTGAAATATATATATCTGAGTTTTGACCACTCACTGAATAGTTCCAGAGTATAGAGGTATAGCTTCAGAGAGAACCCCACCACACTTAAGGGATCATAGGACATGATTTGGGTTACAGGTGGAACTGAGCTGCAGAGGGGGGGAGCCTTGAGGGTCCAGAGGCTAGTCGGCAGGCAGAGGGCTGAGGGCAGAGGCTTAACTGAGTGCAGGCAGGCAGATTCCAGACAGAGAAACTCTTCAGGATACGCATGTGTGGGATCTGCCCACACATGCGTATCCAAAAATTACAACTCCGTGAACTGTCCGTTTGCCTCCTCGGGGTTGGACGTAACTGGCAGCATTCTCTCCGAGGCAGGTCCGATGTGCAGACGCCTACTGTGCGTAGCTCTGTACTTCGGCGTCGCCTCTAACCGGGACTGCAGCTTAACACAGAGTTCAGAGAGATCCGGCCTACGAAATGACGGCGGCCGTACAATCCATCCGCCAACGATGCCATCTTCTTCGTCAGACATGAGGTCGACGGTGGCGGACTTCCAGAGTTCCACTTCCTCATGAGCTAGCACACTCTGCCTCGATTCCAGCAGCTGTAAAAAAAAAAAAAAAAAAAAAAAAAAAGCAATGAATCAGCACTATGCGATGGGATGCACTGCGTATGGACACAACACATCTATCAATGCACCTGAAAAATAGTCACCAAATAAAGTCTTACCCTCTTTCTTCTAGCTCGACTCCGAGCTGAATGCTTGGCAGCTTCCGCCCGCAACGTGTTCTCTGGCTGCGTATATCTGAAGCTCCTGTGTACCGTCTCATAATACGTCTTACAGGCAGCTGGAAAACAATTAAATGAAAGTGGTATGAATAATAGGAGGTCACTGCCTCATTATGAGGCGAGATTAGTCTGTGAAAACAAAATGAACAGTTATGATCAGTATCTATCCGTATCTATTTCCTTTTACCGCAGAATGAAAGCATATTCTTTTAATCTTACCCTTGCTCCGGTTCATAGCGCCTGCAATTTGTCTCCGAGTTGTGAAGACGGCAAACTACTTCCTGTGAATCACAAAAAATAGACCTTAATAAAGCTTGTTCTTGCAAGGCTACTATTAGCCGTAGTTTAAGGCTAGGCTGCTTTTAGCTTAGCTAGCAGTAATCGAACATATATTTACCACTAGCTTCTCTTCTTTGAGTTCGTCAGTCCACTGATAGCAATCAGCAGTTTCTTCTCGTCAGTCTGCGGACTGGCTGAAAGTTGTGGATCGCGTCCAAGAGGAGTGGAAGGCGAGTTGAACACAAGACGTCATCCAGCCATTGATCACGTACCAGCAAAATCCAAACAAAGGAACTGGAGATAAAGTTCTTCTGAGTATAGTAACACAAACATGTCTGCTTGCCCATAAGCTCACACGTGATTGGACGAGCAGTTGAAGGCTCGCCAGGCTTCTCCAATCACATACTCGCGTCTATCATGTTTTTTTTTTTTTTGCTTTATTGGCAATTCCGTTTAACAATACAGAGTAATTCAAACATCACACACAGATACACAGCAGTTGGTGACATTATAACTCAAAAAAAATGAGACATAGAATGTAAAAAATTAATAAAAATAAAACAAGGGAAACAAACATAAATAAATAAACAAATAAATAAAATAAACATAAAATAATAATAGCTAGGGGGGTTTACATTGAGTTTATGGTCATTTACAAAAGTGTATAATTTTATACCATTTTTCTTCTTCATAAATTTAAGTGACTGAAAATACAAACAAAGTTCTTTAAGAAAAACGTTGAAGTTTGGCTTGGTCCTCATGTATTTGTTTTTGTGAATGTAAAATTTCCCCATCATGAGTAACACATTAAAGGCTAGGTCCTGCAGCTTATCTGTCATTTCTATTCCAAACTAAACATTCTCTTTGTCCAGATGAGAAGGAGAATCAAATTTAGATAAACACCAGAAGCAGAAATCTTCCCAGAAAACTTTCACGTACATACAATCGTAAAAGAGGTGACCAACAGTCTCAATTTCACATTCACAGAAGGTGCAATCATTTTCTTCAAAAACCAAAACGGAGCCTCAGAAATTCCTTGGAAGGATAAATGTCAGTGATTATTTTGAAATGGACTTCTTTAACCTTTGGAGCAACAGGTAACTGTAGATATTTATTCCGCAGTTTTCCCACTTTCTCTTTTGGAAAATGCTTGGAGTTTAGGCTTCTGTGGGATGTATCTGGATGAAATTCCTTGACAAACAAACTACGTATGAGATTGTTGGTCAGCTTTTTATCAATAACAGACTGACCGTTGAGTAACAGAGAGGGAAGTTTTACCTGGACATGGTTTAGGAGTAGGTTGTATGACATTATGATCAGAGGCTGAGGAAGGGCTTTGATTAATATATTATATTGTTTTCTGTTATTTATTTTGAATTTAGAGCAAAGAGTTTCAAAAGGTAAAAAATTCCCTTTGGCATCAAGAATGTGCATTATCGACCATATACCACTTTCTAGCCAGCTCTTGTAAAATAAAGACTTGTTCCTGAATAGGACATATCGGGAGTTCCATAGTGGGGTGTTATGAGGACTAAAATTATGCTTACAGTAAATATTAGTTTCCAATAAAGTAAGACTCGTTGATGAAAAGAAGAAAGTTTAAAAGGAAGTTTCTTAGGATCAAAGTCACATTTAAGGATGAAGTTAATTCCTCCCAATTCTATAAATAATTTGGAGGGGATATGAAACCAAAAACTATTTTCATTTTTTAGAAAAGATTTGAGCCAATTCATTTTAATCATTCCGTCTAAACATTCAAAGTCTATTGCTTTAAGACCTCCATCGTTATACTCTTTAACCATTGCTCCTTTCCTAATGTAGTGTGTCTTGTTTTTCCAGATAAAGTCGAAGTTAATTTGATTTATAGCTTTAATTGCATGTTTAGGAAGGGATATGGAATAAGCTGGATAGATAAATGTTGAGAGACATTCCATTTTTGTAAGGAAAGTTCGACCAAAAATTGATATGTCACGTTGAGACCACAAATTTAAGTTAAGTTGACATTTATCTAAAATATTCTAAGAGTTTAGCTTTTGATGTGAACACCAAGATATTTCAGGGCAGATTTAACATGGATGTTATGAATGGCAGTCTGGGAGGAGTCGTGTATCGTTGCGTCTATCATGTAAACATGGCTTCATCCCCATCCGGACAGACATTTTTTCCGGTTTGCATGGAATGCACATTTTACTTTGCTGGTTCTGATTCACATTTTACCAACTGATTCTGATCAAAACTAATTTTTGAAATAAATTATTTTGTGTATTTTTTTACATAACATTTGCCATTGCTAATGGCATACACATTAATCTTGCATACTTTAATTAAATAAATCAATTCAAGCTAAAATGTAAGAGTCTATAATGAGGCTATACTGAGCCTGAGGCATGGGGGGAACACTGCCTAAGAAAGCCCACGTCAATTTCTGACAATTTATGGGAGTTTTCGGTGTTGCCTGCAAATTACCGTGAACAGCCGTTAACCTGAACTTCCACGACAATCTACAGTGCCGCATAGTGACGAAAATCCCACTTTTCATGTAGTGATGGTCAAGACAATCTCCTGCAGATCAAACCGAGCATCAGTATGGGGAAGAAAGGTGATTTGAGTGACTTTGAACGTGGCATTATTGTTGGGGCCAGAAGGGCTGGTCTGAGTATTTCAGAAACTGCTGATCTACTGGGATTTTCACCACAACCATCTCTAGGGTTTACAGAGAATGGTCCGAAAAAGAAAAACATCCAGTGAGCGGCAGTTCTGTGGGCGGAAATGCCTTGTTGATGCCAGAGGTCAGAGGAGAATGGCCAGACTGGTTCGAGCTGATAGAAGGGCAACAGTGACTCAAATAACCACCCATTACAACCAAGGTGGGCAGAAGAGCATCTCTGAACGCACAGTACGTCGAACTTTGAGGCAGATGGGCTACAGCAGCAGAAGACCACACCGGGTGCCACTCCTTTCAGCTAAGAACAGGAAACTGAGGCTACAATTTGCACAAGCTCATCGAAATTGGACAATAGAAGATTGGAAAAACGTTGCCTGGTCTAATGAGTCTCAATTTCTGCTGCGACATTCGGATGGTAGGGTCAGAATTTGGCATCTACAACATGAAAGCATGGATCCATCCTGCCTTGTATCAACGGTTCAGGCTGGTGGTGGTGGTGTGGGGAATATTTTCTTGGCACTCTTTGGGCCCCTTGGTACCAATTGAGCATCGTTGCAACGCCACAGACTACCTGAGTATTGTTGCTAACCATGTCCATCCCTTTATGACCACAATGTACCCAACTTCTGATGGCTACTTTCAGCAGGATAATGCGCCATGTCATAAAGCTGGAATCTCAGACTGGTTTCTTGAACATGACAATGAGTTCACTGTACTCAAATGGCCTCCACAGTCACCAGATCTCAATATAATAGAGCATCCTTGGGATGTGGTGGAACGGGACATTCGCATCATGGATGTGCAGCCGACAAATCTGCGGCAACTGTGTGATGCCATCATGTAAATATGGACCAAACTCCCTGAGGAATGCTTCCAGCACCTTGTTGAATCTATGCCACGAAGAATTGAGGCAGTTCTGAAGGCAAAAGGGGGTCCAACCCGTTACTAGCATGGGGTACCTAATAAAGTGGCCGGTGAATGTAAATAATTCTATCTTAAAAACCAAATCAGCCCAAATGATAGTTTCACCTGCACAAATGAAGAAGCACTGAAAAAGTAGGCTGGATAACTTTGATTTAATGCAGAGCTTATTGGGTGGATAGTTGACATCTGGGTGACCTAAAGAAATCATTAATTTCTCTGAAAGAAGCCAACAGGCTTTTTTTACATGTATTTCTTTTTTTTTTACACGCAGACATTTTAAATATACAAACCTGCACTAAAAAATGAATAACCATTCAGTATTTGCTGCTTTTTTTCACGTCAATGTAATGTCAGCTTCACGCAGCTGAAGCTCCTGTTTGATGAGGCAGTCCAGGGTGCCAAAACTGTGCATCTGAAGTGCAAAACAATGCACTGCTAAGGGGTTCTCAGCAATTACCGAATTTCATTACTGCAGACACTAGAGGAGTTCCTAAAAGAGTCAGCTGTCTTTTCTGAGCTGTATTTTGTTTTGTTTTTTTTGGCCTTAGGCATTGTAATAAAACAAAATCAGCATCAAAACTTTAGAAATATTGGAGCGTTGTTAGTATTCAGTTCAAAGTGCACGCACTTCGAACTGCACTTTCCTCAGCTATGTATTTCACTTTAACGCAAGCCGATAATGGCTCTCCTTTATGAAACCTAGCCATGTCTGCACTTTTTTGATACCTTATTTCATTGGCTATAAAACCAATGAAATAACTTAACAAAGAACAGCAGGACTGTATGAGGTGTAAAATTGCTCTACTCTGTGCGTCACTGGCTGACAGGCAAGGAGCACTTGTGAGACTTCAGCGACTCTCCCTGACTCAAATCAAGTCACACAAATATGCAGATAATTTTGTCTTTTATGTAAGAAGACAATGTAAAGAAACATACCAAAAATCACAGACAAATTTTTGAGGAAGTAAGTATTATTAGCAAGATGCTAAGCATTAGCTATGACGAACTAACTTTTCTGATGTCAAAAAACGGACGCTAACGATGTCTATATTAGTAAAAAAATTTCCGTTGTAATTTTCCGTGCCTTCTCAGTTATTAGTTGTAAATGCTATAAAATAATAATTTCTTATAAAGTAGAAATAACAGAGAAAGGTAAAAATAAGCTTTAAAAAGAACACAACTAATCCTTGTAATAAAAATCTATTCCATCCCACTAAAAAACAAACAACACCCACCCACATACACATGAATTGGACCATGTAACCGCACTCCTCCCCCACCCCCACCCTCCCCACCACCACCCCCCCACACACACACACACACAAACACACACACACACATGGAATGGCCCATGTAACATACCCTCCCCCCAC